AGGTATGTAACACGCGGTCCAGAGAACAGGATCCCTGGTCCCGGTGGAGTTGAGTACACCACTTTCCTTGCACATAGATATGTTTACTGATGAGGAAACCATCTAGACCCATTGTTTAGGGTTTTATGAAGGTTCCTTTGTATAGATATGATTGATTAAATCACTGGCCTTTAGTTTGTTGCTGAAAGATGACCTTTTGCCTACAGCTATTATATCTGTACACTTAAAACACCCAGAAACAGATTTCTTGCTTGTATCAAAGACAGAATTATAAATTTAGTTTAAAGATTATGGTTTTTTTTTTTTTAAATCTTTTGAGACAGGGTCTCACAATGCAGTTCAGGCTGGCCTTGAACTCACTATGGAGCCCAAGCTGGCCTTGAACTCACAATGATCCTCCTGCCTCAGCCTCCTGAGTGCTGGGATTATAGACATGCACCACTGCACCCAGCAAAAACAGTTTTCGTTTTTTTTTTTTTTTTTTTTTTTGTCTTTTTGAGACAAGGTCTCACTATGCAGTTCAGGTTGGCTTTGAGCTCACTTTGCAGCCCAGGCTGGTCTCGAACTCGCAAAGACCCTCCTGCCTCAACTTCCCGAGTGCTGGGATCACAGGTGTGCGCCACCATGCCTGGCTATAATTGATCTTATTTGTTCTTTTGTAACTAGGCAGCACTTTATTCTATAAAACAGAATCAGCATTTTGATGAGCTTAGCAAAGGAAGTTAGTTTCTTAGGTGGAGAATGGCTGAGGGAAGCAGAAGCAGGAAACAAAAATTGGGTTGGTCATTTCAAACTTACTTCCCCTGTAAGTTAAAGCAGGGATTGATTCTTCCTTATCGTATCTCTTGGAACTCGCCTGGTTGGGAATTTGGCGGTTTTCGCTCTCCTGATTTCTCAGGAGGTCAGGTAAACAATTTAGTTCTGGGTTGGTGAATGTAAAACTTTAGCATAAGTGAATCCATTTTTCTTTTGTCTTTTGGGGCCTATTATAGGATCTGAGTCCAGAATAATCACCTTCTAAGATTTCTTAACCCTTGTTTTGTAGTTACGTTTATGTAGAGAGGGTTTTTGGGGGGTTTTTTGCTTTTCAGTTGCCTTATTTACCTTCGTCAATGGAAATAAGTAAAACATTACTGCTCACAGAAGGACTGGTTGTGGAGGCAAAGTCTCCAACTAGGAGCTGGCTACACAAGATCCACTTGATATATGAGGATAACATAAGGTTCACAGCAACCAGATCAATAAAGGCAGGAAAATACTGGGAATTACATTATTACTATCATGGAAAATAGTAAAAGTCAGGGTGTGAGACAAAATTCATCATGGTGATATGGTGAGTAGAGCATTCCCCATAAGAACATGTGGACAGTTCTCAAATTTTCTCCTGATTTCTCTCATTTTCTCCATGAACAGTCCCATATCATCTCCATCTCCACCTGTTGTGTCTCATCATCAGTCTGTTAAGCATGGCCCATTGAAAATTAGGGCAAGTTGGCCAGCCTGTTCTGGTCTGTTATTTTCTTAGGCTGTTGGCCTTTTTGTCTTCTCAGTTTGTGGTCTTCATCTCCATCTTGCATGGCTTACTCTAATTGTTTGATTTGCTGGGCCTATCCATATGGGTGTATCCTCTACTACCACCTCCCATTTGGTGTCTAATGGTGACACTAGAGCCCTGCTTCACTTTCCCTCAGCCCAGTGCCAGCCCGTTGTACACACACAGGAGCTGGTAGCCAGGCTCAAGTGACAGCTATATCCTCAGCTTTCTTTTAATGAACTGGCTCATGTGATTGTGGAGCCTTCAGCTGATTGGATGAGGCCCACCCACATCTTGGAGGATTATCGACTTTAATCAGAGTTAACTTATTTAAATGTTAACCTCATTTTAAAAGAAAAAATAAACTTCCACAAGCTGGGGATGGTCATGCTTACCTGCAGTCTCTGGGGGGCTGAGGCATGTGGATTGAAAGTTTGAACCCAGCCTAAATAACTTAGCAACTTAGCCAGACCCTGTCTGGAAAAAAAAAAGGGCCAAGGATGTACGTTAGTGCACAGGTGCTGGGCTTAAGCTGTGTTGATAAAAAAACAAAAACTACAACAAAAACTTCCAAATACCTGGCACTATGGCTCAGCCAAATGGACATATCAGCCATCATAGTTCTGGTGGGGCGTTAAACCTTTCGTTAAAAAATGTAAAGTGCAGTATTTTCTGGTTAGTTTGCAAAAGCAACAAGCTAATTTCAGTGAAATTTATTAACCAAATCTTTGCATATTGATGAATGGAGTTGACGAATGATTCTAAAAACAAATTTATAATGTGATTAACAACGAATTTATTTTATTGAGATCATTGTTTTTATCAGGTATCTTGTTTTTTTTTACCTGTGACAACCACTAGAAACTAAACATTAAAGTTTACAACCCAGACCTGCAGACTACATTGCCATTGTGTCAAAAGATAAAGTTATAACAAACTTCTTTATACAGTGTATCTAATTGGCCTTTACATGATTTGTCAGTCAAGGCAGCCTTTATTCTACAAAAAAGAATGAGAGCACTCTATGCGATAACAGAACAGTGGTTTTACAAGGTGGGAAGAAGGAAACAGAATACTGATTGGTTAATTAACATCAGGTTACTTCAGGTTACTGTTTTATATAGGTGAAGGCAAGGAGACTTCCTCATTACACCAACTCAGGTGGATGAGAATCTTGTTTGCAGGAAAAACTTGTTTGTTTGGGGATCTATCTGCTTCCTTAAAGTTTCAGTCTGATTATGTGACATTTAGTAGGAGTGACCCCATTTTGGTTTTGTCTGATCTGTTGGAACTTAGTGCTAAGTGGCCTCCCACAATTTTTAGTAAGTTAAGCCAAGATTTTAGAAATTACAAACCATACTTGATTCATCGTGCTTGTTAAAAATATTGTTACAGTGGGGAATGGTGGCACTAATCTATAATCCAAGCACTCTGGGAGGCTGAGGCAGGAAGATTACAAGTTTGAGTTCAACCTGGGCAACTTCATGTGACCCTGTCTCAAAAAGCAGAAAGGGTAGGTAATGTAGTTCACTGTGAAAGTACTGAGTTCAAATCTTAACCCAAGCTGAGCATGGTAGTACATGCCTATAATCAACCTCAGCTCTCTAGAGGCTGAGGCAGGAGGATCACACACATTCTAGGCCAGCATGGGCTACAGAGCAAGTTACAGGCTGACCTGGACTATATAGCAAGACTACCTCGCAAGACCTTTTTTTTAAAAAAAAAAAAAGAGGATAAAAAAGGTCATAGCTCAGAAGTTTTTACTTGTTAAATAAGTAAAGAACAAACAAAAACCTCAAGCTATTAAAATTAATTTTTATTTAATTTCTTTTAAACTTTTAAAAGAAAAAACTTTTTGTAAATTTCAGAATTGTATAATTTCATACTACTGTATGTCACTTAAATTATAATAAATATATATATAACAGGTATTCAGATGTCTTTGTTGTTGAAAGGACTTATAATTTAAAAAATTTGGAATCTTTCTAGAGTATAAAGAAGTGTAATACAAAATTTGATGAAGAGGCTAGTGGAAGAAAAAGTCTTCGAAGTAGTTTGAAAAAATGAAGGAATATTGTTTAAGCTTCGTTGTTCTTTTTGGAATTGTTTTTGTTGAGAGCTTTTTAATTTGAAGAGCATTCTACTTTGTAATGGCGCATATTATGCAGACTAAATTTATTGATGAGTATGTTTTCTTGTATTCAAGTATATCCTTTGGAAGCCAAGTGATAATCAGAAAATTACTTGGAAGAAGAGAGTAATACCAAACTATGATAAACTGAGGAGTTACATTTGCTAATAAGATAGAATTGGCTTTTAGTAGTAGACTTCTAAAATGATTTAGGATGGCAAAAGAGATAAAGTGGAAGGGAGTTTTTTTTTCATTTGTAAATTCCAATGTGACTAAACCATGGTTGATTTAAAAACAACTTGGAAATGCAGAAAGGGATGATATTTAAATATTTTGTCACTGTTGTTCAACTTTTGATATGTGAGAGGGAGAGACTACCAAGTTAGTCAGTTTGGAGACTATTCTGGCAACAGGTAGAAGGGACTATTTTTGAGGTTTTTTTGTTTGTTTGTTTTTGTTTTTTAATATTTTGAGACATGTTCTTGCTTTGTAGTTCAGGCTAGCCTTGAGTTCACTAGGTAGCCCAGGCTGCCCTCAAACTCATGATGATCCTCCTGCCTCAGCCTCCAGAGTACTGGGATTACAGATGTGTGCCACCATGCCTGGCCTATATTTGAGGATTTTAAAAGGCTTGCAGGACCATGATATTAGAAGTTCTGTTATATGTTAACATTGGGTTTACTGCATTGTAGAACACTTTTAATAACACTATATAGTCCTATGAGTTGAGTGATGGGACTCTCACTTTAAGATGGAAAAAGCCTTGATAAATCTGTACAATGTCAGACTTTCGGTAAATGATAGATTGCAGAATTTGAGTCCAGGCATATTTGATTTTGTTCAGCTAACCAATTTTTCATTAGATGCCCGCATTGGTATCCAGCATGGTGTTTATAGGCTTTGGGAGTTCAGAGATAAATAATATATTTTTCATCTCTTGATGGCAACTGGATAAGATAGTATTGTACTGTAATTGTAGAGAGCCTTGGGGACCTAGAAGAAGACCATTCAGCTTAGTTTGAGAGTTTGGGATCATTTCCTGGAGGGTACTATGCCCAGACTGAGTCTCAAAAGAGGAATAAGAGATAATTGCAAAAAAGACGACCGGGGCAGAGTGTTGAAGCCAGGGAGCCCTGTGGGTAAGGGCATTCAGGCATAAAGTAGCATGATGTTCACTTAGGAAACTATTTGTAGGTCTTGAAAGGTTAAATGGTTGGGGACCAGGTTTTTTATTTTATACCTCATTACTTCTCTGTGCAGATATCAGAAGCTGGTTAAACTATTTGAGGATAATATTTCATTCTGTTTCAATGCCTTTTTACTTCCTTTTTCTAGGATCAGTTCGACAGTTTAGACAAGCATACACAATGGGGAATTGACTTCTTGGAAAGATACGCCAAATTTGTTAAAGAGAGAATAGAAATTGAACAGAACTATGCAAAACAATTGAGGTAAGTTATTTTTCAGTTCATAGAAATTACATGTTTAAGCAGTTTAATATTAAACATAGTATTCCATAAGTTAAATTCTAAATTTTTCATCAGACTTAAATTGAAAATTGTAACTGATTTGTTTTAATGATTGATTTAATCACATCTTTGACTAGTACTACAAAGAATGTTGGCTAGCTAGATGGCAAGTAGCTTTCCTTGCAGAAAGGTATTTTAAAAATCAGAAAATTAGGGAACAAAATGCCAAGTAAAAGATAATACTTGGGTATTACTCAGTTTTATACTTCTATTTTCCTTTTGTTTACAAGTCTCTTCAAATCATTGAACATTTCTCTAGAGTTTGTAATTTTTCAGCATTTCTAAGATTTGAACATTAAGTGTGTTCTAAATTAAAATTAATAAAATTGATGTTAAGATTTTATTCAAATAGCAAAATCATCAACTACGTGCTTGGCACGTAGTTTTGCTGGAACTTAATAAAATGGTTGCCTGAAGTTTTAAGACTAGAAAATAAAGCTGTAGAGACAAAAATTCCAGCTTAAACAGGTACACATGACTACCAAGTCCAGGCATTTTTTTCTTTTTTCTTTTTTTTGTATGGGGAATTGAACTCAGGACCTTGCGCTTGCCAGGGAGGCGCTGTGCGTCTGAACTGTATCCCTGGCCGGTCCAGGCATGTTGTATTCAGGAAGAAATTAGCTGGATCTCTTGGCTCTGTTTTCCCGTTTCCTTTATGCTCAGTACCATCCTCTCTACTGCCGTAACTCTAGATTTCTTGACTTTGTATCCCTACATCCTGAAGAAGAAAGATGATCTTGTTATAGCTTTCGGTAGGAGAGGGAGAGTAGAGGTGGTGGAAGGAAGGAAGTTGAAGCCAGGCTATCTTCTTACTCCCAAAATCCTAGCAAAGATCTCTGTTTTTCATACTTATTTTAAACATCTTACTGAGATGGTGATAGTGGATAACTCATAGTTAATAATAAAGAATGATAACCCAAAATAAATTTAAAATAGTAATTTTAGGGAGATATTTGAGAGTCATGTATGTGCAGTGTACAATTTACTGGATGCAGGTAAGGAAAAGACAAATATAATGAATAGATTACTTACAATTTTCTCTGATGCTGTAATACTATTTTTAATAATATTTGAAACAGTGACATTATGCCAATATCCTGATTCATTTGCTTCTGTTTTTTTTTTTAAACAAGATGCTTTCCATATGAAATACAAATATCAATAGGGAGCTTATTAATAATAATAGTGATGATATTTCATCTGTCTAAAAATTACTGTGGGAATTTTATCCCTCCAGAATCTAAAAGAATGAAGGACCTCTCAGAGATTAAAATAGCAGTTACAAAATTTACTTGCATGTTGTCAACAAAAAATTTCTCTCATGTAATTTTTAATTTAATTTTGATTTTGACAAACAAGGTTTTCTAGTTTTAGGTTTCCAGCAGAAGTGAGCAGAAGATATTCTATAGGCAGTATGGTGATGGCAGATAGCATAGAGACAATAAGGAAAAAGATTAAAAATTTTAAAAACAGATGGAATTTATTGTAGAAGTGAATAGTGCTGACTACTTCTATGGCTCTAAGGGTATAAATCATTTTATTATAGCAGAGTAAAAAAGTAAATGTTGGTAAGAACAAGGCTAGATCCTCAAGAAAAAGATTATTTTAAAGAAGGCAGGGCATATGAATGTCTCTCAAAAAATGTGTATGTGCCTTTAAAACACCATTTTTATTGTTGATCTCTACGAATGAAAAATGTGCGCAAAGAGGTATGCACCACAGTTAATTGAAGAGGGAAAAAATTTCTACCTAAAAGTACCTGTTAAAAGAATGATGAAAAAATGCTGTTGTATAGGTAGTTTAAAACAACATAGATATCTACAATATTTAAATTTAAAAGGCTATTCAATCCATCACTATAAAAAGAAAGTTGTAGAACTGAATGTACAGTAAAATTTCCTTATTGCTTATTTGAGATTATGTATACAATTCTGTATAAAATTTGTATGTATTCTGAAGTACTCTAGAAGGGTGCACCCAAATAGTAATTACCCTTGGCAGAATGAGAGAGGGGACATAAAAGAAGGAATTTTTACTTTATGCCGCCTTGAATTATTGAAGTATTTTTAATGATTTTGCATGCGTTTGTAACTTAAAACACTTGTTTTTAAGCAAAAAAGATGGTATACTTCAAAAGAAAATCCTATTGCAAATTCTAAATTACTAATTTATATGCTAAAGCTTTAGCAATCTGGAATATTTAACTATCCAGGATAAGTCAGGCTTCATGTTTCTTGATGGCTAAGGTTTTGCCTAGAGTAATAGGATTCATTGAATCAAATGGCAGATTCGTTTTTCTCTGTCTGTTCTGAGATTGATAATAACCATTAGTTTTCACCTGCAAAGAAAAAGGGGCATTGAACCTCACTTCCCTGAAGCTAGGGTGGCTAGAACTCAGAATTATATGATACGAAAAATGTAATTTTATTGTGAGAAAGTAGGTTCTATTATGTATAGACGCTCTAGATCAGTGAATTACCTTTTAAGGAGTGTAGGAATTGGGCACCTTCCCATTCTAACAGTGGCTCTTGGTAGCAGTGATTCTCAAGTGAGTCAGGTCAGGATTATTGGACAGTGTTGAGGTATTTGAGTAAGGAAGAGCTGGGAGGAAGCTTGTGTAACTTAAAATCACCAGTCCCTCTCCTCCCTCTAATTGAAATTTCCTGCATTTGGAAGAAGACCTAGTAAATGATTGGATTATCAGCTGCTGTTTATAGTGTGTTTTGTTTGAAGGGAAGAGGTTTGCCTTGTTTATTTCCTTTTCTTTAATGGGAAAAATTCCTTTAATTCTCTCTATTTTTCCTACTTCAGAAGTTCATTTCACACATAGGAAAAATATGCTGCCTAATGAGGTTCTTCCCTCCTATATAATAATTATGTTTAGGATGTTAATGAAATACTTACATTTTAAATATATTGTAAGACTAAAAATTTTCAGTAAGTTTTTGGCATCTCTCTGATTGTTTTGTTCTTCTGTTTTGCATTGTTTATTCTTTGGTTCTTGTGTTTTGATGGATTTGCTTTAACTTTAGTTAGGCTGTTCATATTGATTTTTTTTTTTTTTGGAATCACTATAAAATGGGAATAACTAGAAAACAACATATCTGATTATGTTTGGAGGCAGAGTTTATAAGCAATTGATGGTGTTGATTTTGACTGATGCTTAATGGTGATTTCAGATCCGTTGGTTCTGTTTTTCTTTGTAACCACGTAAACAACTGAAGTAATTTTTCTCTTGTGGCACTGGGAATTGAGCATAGAGCCTTGTTGGGTGCTAGGCAGTGACTACCACAAGTGCTTGTAAGTCTGGGGTTCTTTTGCTCGGTCTAGGACAGAAATCATGAAAAAACAAACTGTAGTAGTTTTTTGTTTGTTTTTAAATACAACCAGCTTATTTTGGTTTACCATCTCATTCAAGGGTTATTTTGCTTCATTTGAGGTAGAAACCATGAAGAGGCAAGCAGTATATCCAAATGAAGTTTTATTGGATCTAACGCTTGAGCACAAGGGAGGCAGTGCATAGGTTAGGGTCTCTAGACTGCTCCCTGGGGATGCAAGGATTAAAGTTTATATGCACTAAAAAGTAAAAAGAAAAAGAAAAAGAGAAAGAAAAAAAGATCGGCAGGGCTGTGCAGACCACATGGTCAGCTATTGCGTATGAGCTCAAGGTTTCTGTACATGCCTTGTCAGTTCTTTGCTTTTGACACTGTGGCTTGCACTTCACAAAGTGATCTGTGAGTGTGTTTTGGGTTTGCCTACACTCAGCCCATTAAAGATGATAGAGGTACTCAACTGCTGCCAGGAAAGTCATATACTTTATTGGGTGTGGAGGACCACTTGGGGGACTCTCCTTGAAAAAGGAGCAGTTGTCTCCATTTTGGCTGAGCCTGACCTTATTTTCCATGTATTGACCTGTATACAGAGCTGGCTAGGACTTTGCCTTATCCCTTTAGTTGGCTTTAAGCAATGCATATTAGTCCAGCTGAGGTGCTGATGGTAGTCTTTGAAGATGCAGGCATGTTTGGATGCAACCCCACCCCCGTTGTTCTCTTGTGGGAGCCTGGATAGACAGGATGAAGAGCCGGTTCTTCATAGTGTCCGCTGGGATCGAGGCTGTGACTTCCTGGGGCTTGAAAGATTACACATCAGAGCTGAAGCACCAACCCTAAAACATTAGGTACTATCTTAATTGTGTGATACAGATTACTTTTTTTGCAAATCCTTCCATCTGCATATTGCAGAGGTGATTTCGGGTCTCCTACCTAGCCCAGCTCACAGCACTCACCTACTTCCTGCCATTCTCACAGTCACTCATCCTCAAGCCACTGCTTTCTTTGTGAATGAATAAAACCTGGGTTTTTCCCCCCGGGTGGAGGCCTTTGTTCCCGATAGCTATCATCATGGCTGGACTTAGGACCCCTTGGCTCCCCATAATTACAAATATGCCATAGTGTCTTTATTCTCACCATGGGTTGCACTGGAAGTGGTAGGTTGGAATTAACTCACTAGAATTCCAATATCTTTTCATGGGATTACAAATGTAAACTTCCTGGACCTGGTGGAGGACTGGGAAGGGCTCTCTCTAATTGGGCAAGTTCAGGCCTGTTGCACCTGTGGGAGTAGTAGGACAGTTTGAGGAGGGAGTCATCAGCTCCTGAATCTGGGCATTGGTGGAAACATGTTTTGAAGGCAGCTTATATTCAGCAGGAAACCCTTGAGGGTGAAAACCAGCACCTTTCTGCTCTGTATTTTTCCCCCCAAGACATTTTATCCTTGTTAAGCATAAGGGGTTATGGATGAATGTCTGTACTGTATTTTCTGTAGGTGTCTCCTGCTGATTAGGGACATTAATCCTGTGTTTTTCCTAAGGTAAAAATATCACAGACTGCTGTAATGAGCTGATAGGCCGATTCTCTCCCCTC